ATTTATCTCGCTGAATAACTTAACTAGAGCCATTTTAAAATTTGGTGATTTTGACTTTTTCCAATTTTCTCAAAAACTACCAAAAATTTAAAACTTTTTAAAATAGGTTTGGGCTTTTACCTTGGTTCTTTAAAACTTTTTCTATTTATCCGACTGTCTATCTTTAGTAATAAACCAAATCCCTGTACAGAGAGCTTGTTAATGGGACACATTCTATCTTAGGTGCCTTAAAAAAGTAGATCCTTCGTAGAGTTGGCCACGAGCCGCTACTGTATCATAGAAACATTATATTATAAAATTTATGTTACATAGCAATTACTTACTAATGGTCTATTAACTTTTTACTGAATTATATTAGTTAACAATTTTTTATATCAAATATTATATTAAAACAATTTTTAAATACTCAGTTTTTAAACAAGTTACATTACTAAAATAAACCATCAACTCTGAATACGAAGTCAAAATAACCAATTTGAATAGCATTAAACTTAAAGGGTGAATCCCCACTGTTCTACATGTTATTCGCGAATGCGACGGTGGAGTTAGCAGAACTTAGAATTGTTCTAAAGTCTTATCGCAGGTCGCAGTCCTTGCTGGTCCTTGTCCTTCTTTCATTAAACTGCGAAAGCAGATGTTATGCCCTAAATTCAAACCTGTTCGCTTTACACATAATATCTGCAAACAATAAATACTTACCAAAATGGATTAAATTTTTTCTAATGATATTATGTAAACAATTAGGGTACTTTTGGTGACCAGGGAGAAGTGGGGGTAAATAGTATTCGTCACCAGAATATGCATAACTCAAGATTTCGATAGAAATGTACACAATTTACCTCTTAAAATAATAATTGTCCTTAATGCTGAAGTACACAAATATATAAAATGGATTTATTTATTTTACAACAGTTTATTATTTAATTTACTTACAACTATGTTTACCAATTTATTTACAACTTATATCTACACAACAAAATTTAAACTCAAACGAAAAAATTTGTCTATTTACATAAAAATTCAGCGCACCGCACTGTTCTAGAAAATTTCCAGGCATTTTTGAATGTACTAGATGAGATCTGGCAACACTTTAGATTATTCCAGAACTATTTGTAATGTTAAAAATAATTCTGTTAATTCTGTCTTTTGCAGGATACGAACGACTATAGGTCTCTGCCAATTGTTCTCATAGCCATTGGGGTACATCATAATGGTAAGGTTTCTTCTTTGTTTGTACCATTTTGTTCTTCTATTTAGTGTGTGTTGATTCAGACTAGTTCATCGGGACCAGATTATTTCTGCTAACTTCTTTGTATATCTCCAGCTAGATATTAGATTTAAGACTATATCACTATTATTTTGTACAAAGCAGCGATAGGAGTTAAGCTTTCTAAGTCAGAAGAGTCGGAAGAAACATGAGTCAATCGTCGAGAGTTGATTATATTTTCACTTTTTGCAAAGATTATTTAAAGAATATATTCAAGTAGATGTTCTGTTATATTGTAAAAATGTTATTGATTGGCCGTTATGTTTAAAATCATTAGTTAAGTGTAAATTAATTTCCTATCATACAGAGAATGCCGTAATAACTGTTGATTTAATAAAATAATTCTTAAGAGAAAATTAATTTTCCATTGTACAGGGAGTGCCATAATTGCTATTTTAATTATTCTATTGTATTTAAACAATTTATTAGATAGAAACGTTATTTTCTTATATACAGGGGGTGCCGATATAGAGGTTTTAGTTATTTCATATTTTATTTTTATTGTTTAACTTTAGTTTTTTAAAGAATTTGTTTGATTTAATAAAACAATTCTTAATTGGAAATGTATTTTCTATTATACCAGAAATGCAAGAGTCCCAAGTTTTTATAGTACTTTTATTTTATTTTTGTAAATATATTTTGTTAATATTTCCTGTTTGTTTTTTTTTATGATCGGCTGTCAACCATTTTGTTTCATGGTACAAGGTTTGAAGTAGAACAGTTTCTTTTAATATAACTTAGTGGCTACCCTATTAGCGGTGACCGCCTTGAGAAATTTTTTTCTCCACTGAGCCTGCCTTGTGTGCACATTGGTGTAATACAGAGTCGCAGAGGAAACTGCGTTTTAGCAAAACTGGCGCCTCCGCAACCCTCATTCTTATTTCACCCCTTAGCGCCAAACAGACTTCCTACTTTACAGTAAGTGAAGCCAGAATCCTGTCACAAAATTAGGACCGAGAGAGTTTATTAAATTTCTTCCCGAAAGACTATAAAATCTTTTCGGGTAGCCAGGCAACCCTCGAGGCACTGAGCTCCAATCGAGTTATCTCAAAGCTGGTTTGGAACTGTATAAATATCAAGGTTGACAAAAAATACAGATTGGTAACAAAAAACAAAAACCTTTACGTATTTGCCGATACATTTTAGAAAAAAATACTTATTAACCCACTAACATAATATGGTATAATGACACCGACCAGAGAGACCAGAGAAGGCATTTACCACAGAGAAGGAACTTCCCACAGGCTAGCATTTAGCATGAACGTGAACGGCCCTCTGAAAATAAAGAGAGCCAGATGATAAATCATCATGCAAAAACCCCGTCCTAAACTACGCCTCCAAGCTTTCAACTCGAGTCGTTTCCTGGTTGACTGATAGGAAAAAATTATGTAACTCCAGACGTTATTCGTCCTGAAAAGGTTAAACAAGTCTTACCCAATTCGACCATGGCCTTTATCAAAAGGTGTGGCTTGTAAGCTGAACTATATGTTAGACATGAGCCACAATAGATCCATCTGGGTCATCCCACTTTCTTTCTTCCTAACCTCACCTAAGGAAGGAACTGATCCAGCTTTGCCACTTAATCAAAAAAAATATCGTATTTTTAACAGAATGCCCAATAACCCAAAAGGAAGAATCCTTTTTGCTTTACGATTCTGGACCAAATAACGACAGAGTACTGATTTTTAGTACGAGTAGACATATTTCACTCGTAGCTCAAAGCAATCATTGGTACGCTAATGAAACATTTAAATGAGCACCACATTTTTTTAATAACTGTTTACGCTACATGGCTTAAAAGAACATATATTTCAGTTTCATTGGTGTATGTTCTTTTATCAAATAAAACAAAAAACCATAATCAAGAGTGTTATGTTGGTAATAGGGTGTTAATAAACTGCGACCTAAAAGATCTATTGTGACCCCTTCTGTCGCTAATGCACCAAAGAAATGTCTCAATGCCTTCCAATCCTATTTCCACAAGGAATTATAGAATTTGGAGTGGCTTCAAGTTAGGTAAATCTCCCTCTTCTGTTTGATATTCTCCTAGATATAGTGTCATTGGATTCTGGAGTGCTACACATTCAGAATGTGAATGGAGGTTTCGTTTTTCTCCTCACAGAATCTACACTCACTATCCTCTACTACTCTCAGTTTATTAAGGTGTACTTTTAGTCAGCGATGCTCGTTTAGGATCCCTGTTGCAATACCTAGCCATTTCTTACTCAGACAAATGCAGGATTGCGATCTTTTCTAGTTATATTCACCCAGAAGTATCTAACCCTGTCTCAGCCCCAAGAGATTGTTCCAATTATCGGTTCTTTTACTGATCTACCAATTCTTTTTTAATCTCTCCTTATATTATGTTACTGCTGATACCGCAGAACGGCTCAGGTCCTACAAAGGGTGTTTGAGCCCCTTTGCTTGCAAGACTATCTGCAATCTCGTTACCCTGTACCCCGTTATGTCCCGGGACCCAAGTAAGAGTAACTCTATTTTTTTCGCCAAGCTCATTCAATTTTTGAGCTGATTTACATAAGAGCTCAGCGCTTTGATGGCTGCTTGACTATCGGACATGATGATAATCTCTTGTCTATGACAGTTTATCTCGATATTAAACTAGATACACTTCTAGATGACGTGAATTTCCGCCTGGAAGGTGCTTGGGTATTTTCCCAAGCTTTCGGAGTGTTTGATTCTCCTATTCGAGTTCCTTCTATGATTTTGGAACCGTCCGTATACCACTGAATAGCGTGCATTTGGGTAGCAAGCGCGATTGATTCTTGGCTCCATTCTTTCTTGCAGCCCAGCTCTGTAGTTTTGAAGTTTTTCACAAAACTGTACTTCTTTAGCATTTCATCCTAGGGCATGTCCCAGGTATCTTTAGTCCTGAAGCAAGTAGACTTTCGCATGATTACTCCGTTCCTAATAATTCTATATCATTAAATGTAGAGGGGTGAGGTTTAAGATCACCTCCATTGCGGCCCTAGGGCAGGTTCTCATTGCACTAGTAATGCAAACGGGCTAATCTTTGTACTTTTGAGATATTAGCTCTCGTAGTAGTTAAACTAGTTCTGTTACTCCAGGCTATAGCCCCGTAAGTGATGATTGGTCTCACTATTGAAGTATACTACATCCATCGTCAAATATGATAAAAATTAAAAATTTTCTAATACACATTTTAGCATTGGTTTATTTATTAAAAAAAGTACAACGAAATCCTTGCATTGATTTATATTTTATCTTATTTTTTAATTCTTATCAACATTTTTACTTAATACTTTGCTCTATATTGAAATTTAAAAGTGTTTTGCTCTGATAAATAATTATTATTAATTTTCCCTGTATACCACGTAACATTTTACAAATTTGACTCTTGATTATGGATTTCCAAGTGATGTTAAACTTTTTATCAAGTCGCGGAATTGTTGTCGGGAAATTGGTGTCGGGGAATTTTTCATTTGGAGATTTGTTGCCAGGAACTGTTCTTAGACCTTTCTAATGCAAAACATTCTATAGAAAATCTATTACTGACAGTTATTTATCTTGAAATATTTGTGCTGTTTTTGAAATAGACCGCGATTTAACAACAGATTCTCTGCCATAATAACTTCTTTATATTTTATAGGGAACACCATTGCCCTAAACAATGTGTCATGGACTTAAGGAAAATAAAAATAATACAATTTAATACACATAATCTTAATATTTAATTACAAGTATTTTAGACTAGTGGACTTTTTCATGTACAATATTTAAGTAACAATAAAAGATAGGTATAATCGTTATGATAATCAGATAAACGTAGACTTTTCTTTTTATTTACTTTTCAGGAATTAATTGGTAAGTGACTGCAATATTTGCTGAAACGTCATCACTAATCTTTTTAGAACCAGTCATGAAGAATCCAACAACGCGATGATTGTCAAGAGTAAATTCGTGTTTGTCACCTTCAACAGTTCCAACTGTCTTAGTAGAGTTATCATCGAAAGTGAAGTCCAAGGCATTGATTTGTCCTGTACCATGAGCGGTTAATTTGATCAAGTTTTTACCACCAAAATCAACAGTTTCTTTATCTCCACTAGTTTTGGCACCTGTAGTCGCAGATTCACCATTTTCGTATGTGACTTGGAGGCCTCCAATCTTAGGTGAGTTTTTGCTAGAAAGAATAACATCTACTTTAGTAGGTATGTTTAATTTTCCATTTATTTCTTTAGGTTGCAAAGGTGGGGGTATTTCATCAGTAACTTGTCTTCTGCTTTGAACAGCATTATTTCTTCCAAACTGTGTTGAAAACACAACTACAGGATTATAAGGTCTCTTTGTCTCTTCCGGATTTTCAGCAATTGCTTTCCAAGCAGCAAGATGCTGGGTACCGTTTAATGCACAGTAGGCTCTTACAGTTGCAAGCTGATCGTAAAGTTGTTCAGAATATGAATGCTTGTATTCGTCTGCCATTTTATCTTTGTATACCTTATTTGCATGTTCAATTGCTCCTTGAGGATCATTTACGGTTCTCTTAAGGTAATCTCTAAGCCGATCCACTTGTTCTTTGATAAGACCAACTTTTTCCTGATGCACTATACCATATTGATAGAAACTCATTTTTAAATTGATTAGAGTTGCCCATAAGGGAAGTAAAACATAGTTGGCTTTGACGTAGTCGGGATCAGTTTTTTCGTCAAAAGTAAATAGTTTTTCGAAACCAACTAAATCTTCGGCAATGTTCATGTAATGAGCAGGTACGGTTATTTTGATGTTGGGATCATCAATTTCTCTGGCGCACGTTTTTATTCTTTCCTTTACATATGCAAGTTTTCTACCAGTTAATTGTTTTACGACATCCTGAGCTTTCTTATCTACCACTTCAAGGACCTAAAAAAAATCTAATTTGTAGTTTCAGAAAACGAATAGGTACTTTTGAAAAAGGGTAATATATATGAGTGTTGGACGGTTTACTCAGAGGTATGACGTCACTAATATGATTAGTGACATAGGGATTAAGAAATAATATTTTACCCGTAATACCATCATACAATAACTTTAATATTTAAATAATTTATTTCATCCTATGACCGTCGCCCTTTAGTCGTGGAGTGGGCTGAAGTGGAACTATTAGTGACATATGCCACTGATATTTCTTCTTTTTCCTACTGTTCGATGGACGGATGATGGACATATGACATATGAAGTTTGAACCCACGTGTTTCATTCTCACCTGTTGGATGTCGATGTCAGACGTTTTCTTAAAATTTTACCATGCTTCCACGTGTTAAGTTAAAAAAAATATTTTGTACAATGGGATAGTTTTAAACCATTTTTTCGTTTTTATATTCTGATGTCCCGTAATTTTAATCATTTTCCATCACTTGTACACAATGAACCTCATTGAGTTGCAAGTAAATGTTTTAATATAGTCAACATATAACTTTTATCAAAATTAATTTAATTAATTTGTATTGTAGCTTTCCTGAAGATGAACATAATCATGTTCGAAAGCTTGGAATAAATTACTTTCAAAAAATTAGCCAATATCAAGTAGTATTGGAATTATTATGAACAGCATCACTCAATACAGATTATTACAGAACTGTGTATTTAGTTTATTTGTAAATTGTATAGGGTTTGTTCAATGCAGTTACCGAATAGTTACACATATACACTTTAGAACACTGTTTTTTTAAAACTTTTATATCAACTATTTAAATGTCATGTTGCAAAAAAAGATGATTGATCCAGTGTTTATGTGTATGAATAGATGACAATTTTTTTTAAGTTAATATTTTTCTAGCCTTACCTTGTCTTGTACTTGTTCCCATGCACTGGGTTCAGCTGCAGCTGGCCAAAAAAAACCAATAATTGTGGACAGCTCACCACCAATTACTGGCACCTTCCCAATTCCATAAGTAACAAGAGTCTTTAGAAGATTGTTTGTATCGAGATTAAAGTAGCTTTTACTATCAGTCCATTCATCATATCCCCTATTACCACCGGAAACGTGGACAAATGCGTTAACATCACCGTTGTTAATAACTTTTACACCTTAAATATAAAATAAATTATTCGTAAAGGATACTATGTTACGTGGACATTTAAACTCTATTTTATCTAGTAGTGGAAAGAGAGGCTATAGTAGTTCAAATAGATTGGGATAGAAATTTTCAAGAAAATTATCCCGTAATATAACATGTGAAGAAACAAGTAAGTGATAGTAATGTCACCTGATAAGATTTCTCTTTTTTATGTTAGAATCAATAGTTATTAATAAAATATTTAATTTAAATTATTGCTCATTTATTTATTTATTTATTTATTTATAAACTATAAGGAGTACGAACAGGACGTACCTAAAAATAGTACTCACAATAAAATTATCAATATAAAAATAACAGTGAATGGCATTACTTTTAACCCACGTAAATTTAAAAATAAAAAATATTAACATTGTGATTATCTAAAGATAAAGATATTATTTAAAGATAAAGGTATTATTTAAAGATATTATTATCATTTTCTTTTTTTGTTTTCATTCTTTTTTACATGATGGAGGATCTGATTTAATACTGCCTGGAACAGAAGTTTGAGCTGGTAATAGGTTGCAACTCAAACGCTCATCACTTCAGTTGGGGCAGTAAGGATAACAACGCTAGAGGTAAGTCACTTTATAGTTATATAATTACGAAAAATCTTTGTATTTTAAATAAAGGTACCACACCAACATTTTAAACTCTCGCAGTCAAACACTAATAGATATCAGTTTATCCACAACTGGTATCTATAAATCAATTCTAAACTGGCAAATGTCTGATAACATTTCGATGTCAGACCACCGCTGGTTAACATTCAAAATAAACCTGATGTTGCCGACCTTCACGCTATCTCGGAACCCTAGGAAGACGGACAGGGCAACCTATGCCCACCTTCTCCAAGAGGCTCTGAGAGAGATGGAGGCCGAAACACCAAACAATAATACTGCTTTGGAAAAGTACACGAACACTATCCAAAGCACAATAAACAATGCCTATAAGAAATCCTGTCCTCTGAAGCTGGTCCAACACGATCAGACGACTACCGCATGGTGGTGTCACGAGTTGGATCACCTCAGGCAGATGGCTAGGAAATCTTTTAAGAACCACAAAACTGAAAGAGGACTGGGATACTTACAAATCTCACCTCAGAGAATACAAAAAAATCGTCGGACAAAAACAGAGAGATGCATGGAGATCCTACTGCGAAGAAATCGAAGATTTCCTGTAGGCAGCGAGGCTTCAAAAAGCTCTCAAAAGATCCACACTGAAGCATTGGTGCGCTAATCAAAGAGGATGGCACGAAAACTGCCAACCTCGAAGATACCATCAAACTTCTGCTGTCAACACACTTCCCTGACTCGGTCATCACACACGTGGCGTATTGGACAGAGGAAGAATACAATCCATCTGTCTATGATTGGAAAACTGCCAAACACATTGTAGACGATGAAAAAATTAGATGGGCAATATCCAGCTTCTCGTCATTTAAATCGCCATGACCTGAAGGTATCTATCCAGCCCTACTTCAGTAGGGTCTGGAAGAATTCACACCATACCTCGTTGGCTTTGAGGTATTTCTCCAAAAAATGGAGAGAGGTAAAAGTGGTATTTATACCCAAACCTGGAAGGATGGAATACACTGTCCCAAAAACATACCGACCAATTAGTCTGACATCGTTTTCCATGAAGACATTGGAAAGGCTATGCGAAAGGTACATAAGGGATACGGTGATTACAACAACACCACTACACCCAAACCAACATGCATACACCCCAGGCAGATCTACTGATTCAGCTCTTCATCTAGTTGCTGGTCAAATCTTGACAATAAGGATTCCGCCTTGGGTGTTTTCATAGACATAAAAGGTACTTTTAATAAAACCACCTTTCCAAAAATAATACACTCACTAACCAACAGGAATGTTCCAAAAATGGTTAGTGTGTGGATACATAACATGCTCTCAAAGCGAGCAGTAAACATAAGTGTGGAATGTGTGAATATAAGAGGCTTGGTTGCGAGGGGATGTCAACAGGGAGGGGTGGTATCACCTCTACTGTGGAATATGGTCTTCGACACCCTCATCAGCCGCCTAAATAATGACAGTCACTACACAATAGCATATGCAGATGACCTGGTCATTCTGCAAACAGGGAATTTTGAGAACATACTCTGCGAACGAATGCAAGTAGCTCTAAAAATTATCGAACAGTGGTGCAAGGACCATTCACTGTCTATCAACCCTAAGAAGACAGAAATGGTCCTTTTCACAAGGAAAAGGATGAAAATGGAATTAAAACCTCCAGAACTCCTAAACACAAAACTAAACTTTGCAACAGAGGTGAAGTACCTAGGTTTCACCTTTGAGAGCAAGGTAACATGGAACTCGCATTTAGAAAATAGAGTTTAAAGAGCATACATTGCTTATGAACAATGCCGCCGAACCGTGGGGCGCACCTGGGGTTTCTCCCCCAGCGTCGTCGCATGGACTAACACGGCCATCATAAGACCTATGATAACATACGGTGCAGTCTTCTGGGTACCGAAAACCCAAAAATTAACAGCTATCCGTAAACTAGAACAAATTCAAAAAACAGCATGTCTCAACATAACAGGAGCCATGAAAACAACACCAACCAGGGCCACGGAAGTTATTCTTAGTCTCGCTCTCCTTGATATTTACATCAAGAAGGTTGCTCTGACGACAATGACACACCTCCGCATGGTTGGAATAGAACCTGATGTAGGATCTGGCGAGGCGAGACGTCGCTTTTGGCAGGAGGCGCTCGATACGCTCCCACTGCTTCAAGCTAACATGGACTACATTTCACTGAGACATATCTTTCCATAAGTCATATAAAGTTATAATAGAACAAATAGAAGAGCCATAAGTGGCAGGTACGATTCACATCTACACCGACGATTCTAAAACAAAACAAGGCTCAGGATGTGGAATATACTCCAGATTCTTAAACCTAAACATAAAGTGGGCTGTGGGCAATATTACCAGTGTAGTTCAAACAGAGCTAACGGGTATTCTCATAGCAGCAAAAGAAATAACCAGAAACAATATCACTGGAAGGAACATGTTTATCTATACAGATAGCAGACAAGCACTACTCACCCTGAATAGACCACGAATTTACTCAGGGTTAGTACTAGAATGTCACGAAGCTTTGGCCGAAGTATCCATCAACAATGTGGTCACCTTAAGATGGATCTAGTGTCACGCCACATCGAAAGGTAACCGTCTTGCTGATTCACTAGCCAAGAAAGCAGCCAACCAAATACTTTTTGGACCTGGTCCTTCTATTGGCCTCACAAAATCGGTAGTGACAGACCTAATCAAAGAACATTCCCTTGTGAAATTCAAGGAAAGATGGGATGAAACAAGAAACTGCAGAGTTGCCAGGGAGCTCTTAAGTTATCCGGACAACACTGCAGCAAACAAATACTTGACTATGACTAGACAGAATCTGCGCCTAGTCACAGCCATTCTGACTGGTCATTGCCAAGTACGAAAGCATCTCCATATCATGGGGCTGTCAGAATCCGCACTCTGCAGAAGGTGCGAACAAGAAGATAAGATTATCGAGCATATACTTTACGATTGCCCGACGCTCTCATTTATTAGAAGATTTGTATTCGGCGAGTATCGGCTAACACCGGCCGATATAAGAGAAGCACCTCTTGGCAACGTTGTCTACATGAAATCTGTAGGCTGGCTCACGAGCTAGGAGGTGCCTATCATCTCAGGAGGATGCATAATGGGCCTAATGAGGCCTAAGTGCCGTGAGGGTAACCCACTCTCCACACATTATAGATACAGATACATGATTTACCTTGTAAGATTTGTTTTTATTTGAATATTTTTCACTTTCAAAACTTTATGTTTGGTTCACGTTATTTTCTTTCTTTCTTTTTTGTTTTCTATAGTCTTGCATTAATTTTTCTTTTACAGCATCTACAGTTATACTATTTTCATTTTTGCTTTCTAAAACTGTGACTAAAGTTTCATAACTTTCAGACAAATTCCACAGTTAAAAAGCTACTACTAGATGAACAGCAATTTCTTTTCGAATAGGTTGGAAGTTGATGTACCAAATCTAGTATTACATTAAATAAATCTCCATGTCACCAGTTCCTTTCAATGTTATTCTGCAAATCCTTTTCAACAGATAAACTTTTCTTATAAGTGACATATTCTTGAATAACAATGTTTCAATGAGTTCCATGCTTCATTTTCAGATTATGAATGTCGTACGTGTACCACCTGATTATCTTCTATTAAGGGTCTTGTTTTTGTTTTGACTTTTCTGTCCGTTTTATTCGATTTATTGATTACCGGAATAGGTTTCTCTTCTTGGACTCGTCTTTCATTAAAAGCATTTCCATTTTGTACTTGTACTTTGTATTTACTCCTGTCAGATCTGTCATGACTTTTTCGATTTGAAATTGTATAAATTTAATTTGCTTTCTTTTTATTTATACTGCATTTTTTACATTGGGCCCATAACCTTTTAGCTGTTCATTTTAATATTGATGCAGATTTTTCTTTTCATTGAATATACATTTATTTATTAATTTGACAAAATCAAGGAAAAATTGAAGTTAATTTTAAAAATGTAACAAACAAGAAATTAGAATAAAAAGAAAGTTCTGATACAAAATCTATTTCACATAAACATTCAGGTCATGAATAACCTGAATAATTATATGAATCGAAATAAAGATAAAGGAAGAAGGAAGATTGCGATGGATGAAGAAATTTGTTCTGTGATTTATCATGGAAAATGGACTCCTAAAGACAATAATATTGTTGGCTGTAAATGGATATTCAAAATTAAAAATTATGAAAAAAACGAAGCTTAATAAGCATAAGGCCAGGATCGTTGCAAAAGGATACTCACAAAAATATGGAGAAGACTACGATGAAGCATTTGCTCCAGTTATTAAGAGGCGACCACAAGACTTCTACTTATTATAGCAGGAAAACAAAATTTATTTGTAAAACATTTTGATATTTTGTAAACAAGGATTTAAGTGAAGAAACTTTCATGAAGTAACCAGAAGAGTATATAAAAGAAGAAGAACATCTAATCTGCCATTTGAAGAAAACTATTTACGCTTTATAGCATGCAACAAGGACTTGAAACTTAATATTAGATAAACATCTTTAAGATTTAGAATTACAAATAGGGAAAGCAGATCCGTGTCTCTATTATACTAAAAACAATAAAATGTATGTTAACATTTTTGTAGAATATATTATTCTGGCTGGTAAAACTCCACAAATAATAAATTAATTTGCTCTTTACCTCAATCAAAAATTTAAGAGGTAGCTAAGGAAATCAAAGAAAATATCAATCCTAAAAAAATACACCTGGCTACAATGTGATCATAGGTGAAATTCTAAAACAATTGCCAGAAAAAGCTGTGGTTAAACTCACTAATATAATAAAAGCTGCATTTCGATTGCAGCATGTACCTATCATCTGGAAAGTTACTGAAATTATAATGATACATAAACCTGGAAAACCACCAAATAAAGTAAAGTACTCTAGACCTACATCTCTGTTACCAGTGCTGTCTAAACTTTTTGAAAAACTTTTACTAAAAATATTTAAATTCATGATAGACAATACCTGACCACAGAATAATTAATAAAATAGAGAAAACACTGGAAAACCGATCTACATCTCACTCTAGACGTAGCTCAGTCTTTCGATAAAGTATGGTTAGAGGGCCTTGAATATAAAATAAATAAACATTTACCTAAGCAATATTGTGACATCTAAAAATCTTACTTGACTGATAAAATCTTAAGAGTAAAACAACAAGAAGAATATTCTACGCCTAAAGAAATTAAAGCAGGGGTACATCAAGAAAGTGTTCTGGGGCCAGTTCCTGGATAACCGGTACCTAATGAGAAGGCTCAGAAGAACCAAACCATTTGAATTAGTGATGTGCAATTATGTAAAAGCAGAGTTCATCGGAACAGAAAGGAGAAGATATCATTAGACGTACTCTTTGATTTAAGCCTCTTATATTTATATTAAAGACAAATCGCTGGTTGGCTAAAATACAGCTAAGTGCAATGCAAACTAACAAAAAAATATATTTAAAAATAGAAAGAGACAAAACAGAAATTTTTATTTCAAGTCTATAAAATATTCAAATCACACAATATGGAAGAGGGAAAGCCATCAATAATTCCACTGGTTCCGGGATATTACAGGAAAAAGTACAATTGCTTTTAAATAATGAAAAATAGAAAAATAATTTGTATGTCAATTCTGAGTAGACGAGTAAATGAACCAAAAGAACTTTAAATAGCGATGGGATAATTAAAAGGGATAAAAGAGACTAATACTAGGAGGCGAAAATAGCGAAGAAAATTATTTATTGTGCTGATACTGACTGGAGAGGTGGTAAATCAGACATAAAATCTAATACAGGTTCATGACTAAGTATTTTTCCGAATTAGAATATGGTATTCTATTATTATTTAATGTCACTGGTAAGTCTTCATCCGATATAACTTAATCAAATGCACAGCATAATAGTTATTGTGTTTTTCAAAAAGCACACTGAAGGTTTTGGTTTTCGTTTTAAATTAAAAGATTTGTATATTTTTCAGTCCTTCTTAATAAGTAATAGATCATAAATTATCTAAAGAGCTGTTTCATAATGTGTGAGCGAATAATTTATGAGATTTAGGATATTTATTGAGCTCTATTCCATAAGCCTATTAATTAGAAGGAACGATTTAACTTTAACTAATACTTATGTATTGTTAGGTTCTATGTAAAATTATAATAAAACTGTTTTTAGTTAAATGATTTAATCAGTAAATGCGATAATATTTTTAAGACTGTTTAATAAGCTTACCGATGGCACCCATTCTGTTACCAATAGTCATAATACATGCCTGTCCTGGGACAATGGGATTTGTGCCTATTGTGTTGGTCCATGAGAATATGTTTCCTTGAATGACAGCGATGGTTACATTTGTTTTTCCAACATTGTAGGCAATATAGTAGGAATCCTTCTGTTGGGTTACAATTCTATCAGCTTTTGGATTGATATAGTAAGTTTCCGTGTTATAACCCATGCTGGTTGATTGGAAGGCTGAAAGAAAATACATCTATACATCGGAAATTTTTGATTTTGTCATTTTTTCAGTGGAAATTGGTGGTGTTTGTATATTATTATCATGATGTTTTCCGAGATTGCTTAGTAGTTATTAAAATAAGTACAAATTTGTAAGGTGGGATCTACCTTTAGTGTATCTGCTATTTTAATTTTTTGTTAGTATTGTTTTAGATTTCGCCCGCCGTACTCGCATGAGAACACTAGAATTTTTACATTTCTAGCGACATCTGTTGGCCTTAAATCGAACTTCAATTACGGAATATTCATCCCTGTAGTTTCCTTCTAGCAGTTATGTCAATAAAAATATGACATTTGTATTGTAATTTATGTGTTGTGAACAAAGTATGTGGTTGTGTAGGAGATTTTGCGACGATTACGGTGGTAAATTAACAATAGTTATAAAAGCATTTTGTTTCAATTTACTAGGTAATATATGTATGGGATATATTTAAATATTATGTCCTAAGGTGATTGCTTACTTACGAGATATAGTTCATTTCATAGCCTTTCAGTTGCACGTCATACGGCATCTATCTCGCTTTATCGCATTAAGTTGAAAGAAATGCAAAAAATGCACTATAAATTTTCGTGACGCAACAAAATAATGAGAGATCTACACGTAGATATTAAATACCTACAATTGACACAATACAGGCATTTCATTGGCTGCCGTTTGCTATACGTCATGGCCTCATAGTCAAATTGAAATCTTGAACATGCACTTTAGCTATTTTTGATAAACGTCAAAGTGTACGTCTGACAGTTTTTATCAGACCAGTACTTCCATTAGTTCCATTTGTAATTATTGTGGTTAATCACATTTTTTAGAAGTTGGAATATTATTTTTTATTTATTTATTTATTTATTTATTTTGATAATTATAAACATGCCGAGGTATAGCGAAAAAGAGCAAACGTTTGTATTAAAACTACTTGCTTATTTCCAATTAGAAAAACAAGCCGGTAAAACTCTATTGCCCGTAAATGCTGTACATGAAGTAAGTTTCACATCTTAGAGTTTAATAAAAATTCATTGATAATCAATTATTTTTAGCGTGTTTCGGCCGCCTTAGGAATATCGCTATCGATTGTAGGACGATTAGCAAATGAAGGTATTCAAGATTCAAGCAGATCGCGAATACTCAGCTAAAATGTCCGATTGTGTGAGCGTTCAAATTTGTTTACTGGTTCATTATGAGTTTATTTTCAAGGGTTACTTTTAATATTTTTTATTTTTATATTTTTTTTTATTTTAGGTGAGCATGTGACTCTTTAAGCGTTGAAGAAAAAATTAGAAGATGTATATGGGATAAATACATCAGTTTCTTCACTCAGTAGGGATTTAAAAGAATTGAAATTCAAGTGGAAAAGCAGTAACATTACTAACAAAAAATATCTCATGGAACAGTCACATGTTACACGAAAAAGATTATACTTTTTGCGAGATTTAAAAAAAATTAAAGTGATTCTCATCGTCTCAAGCCTGTATATCTTGACGAAACTTGGATATTCAGCAAAGGAGAATTTCGCAAAAGCTGGCAGGATGGTACCGATAAGGCAGTCAGAAAGACGAGTGGTAAAGGTGTTGACTTATAAAAATAAAATTTGAATAAACTTACATCCTAGTAGTAATGTTGTTTTGGTCCTTATTTTCCATTCTGAATCAGCACAAAATAATTAAAACACAATACACGACAAAATAACCCACATTTTTGAAAACAAAGTGACTTTAATAAGCCATAAAAACCACTACAAGTCGTTGAGAATAAATAATTAATACAATAAAATGATGCATATGCAACTAACAATACAAGGTACTAATAATATTGGTTGCCTAAATCTTAGTAATTTCTTAACAGAACACATTTTTTTATAAATAATTTATTCAAAATTATAAAATATATTGTATGTAACTCGTTCATGTTGCTGGACCTCGCTCTGCTCGTCCCGCAAATATTTACTTATTAGATAAAATAAGGCATTTCACACTTGGTTTTATAAAAAGCTATTATGCTTTCTACAATAACATAATTAATTATAAAATCATTGACACTAAAGTTTAGTTTTTAAATTCACCTAAAATTATTGTAGCCTTCTACAGGGTGTCCCGAAATTAGACGGTAATATTTTAATAGCATAATCTACATCCTAAATAGGAGTAAAAGTTAATATAAACATAGGTCCGAAAACGTTTCTTTTCCGAGATACAGGGTGTTAAAAGTGAAGTCCTGATGACACTCTTTTGTAAATATTTTCTAAACGTTTAAATATAACTAAGTGAAATTTGGTACAAATGCTTACCTTTTTACGCTCTATTTAATGGATTAAACTCCAGTTTTTGATCATCTTCATAGGAGGGTAAATTAGGGGGGCTTAGGTTAAAATTGCCCTAACTTTTTTTTTTGACAGTTTTTAACATTTTTGACTATAAAATTTGGAAAACCAATGTTTTCTTTATAATAAAGCTACTCATGTTGCATCTCGCTAGGACACACCATTTTCAAGAAAAAAGCATTTGAAAATTTAATGATAAGTTAATGTTATCTTATTCGAAAGTGTAAACAATAATTAGTAGACTTGTGAAATCAGAAATTTAATTTTTTTTACTTTGGAAAATCGGTGACTAAAGAAATTTTAGAAAATATTTACAAAAATGTGCCATCAGGACTTCACTTGTAACACCCTGTATCTCGAAAACGAAACGTTTTCGGACCTACGTTTATATGATTTTTTATTCCTATTTTAGTATGTAGATTACGCTGTTAAAATATGACCGTCTAATTTCGGGACACTCTGTATATGGTCTAAGATCCGAAGTAAGGTCGACCTTCACCCATTTGTTTAACGGATGAAAGTTATTTTTTATTAAATAAAATAATATGTTTATAAATATACCGCGAATGAATTGCCTAAGAACATTCGTTCATGACCATTTTCTTAAAGTAAAAAAAAACGACACGCTGTAAAGAATTTCCCAGATGCTTCGACTATGCCCAAACTTTAAATAGCTCACCGCAGGATGGATTAAAGCTTTATTTGAAAATTTTGTGTTTTTCTCTTCATCCGTTTTTGAGTTATCTTCAAAATTCGAAATTTGCACTTTTTCTCAAATATCTCGAATTAGGTGACTTTTAGGGAAATCATATATAGGAACAATATTATAGAGAATGACACCATAAGTAACTTTTATCATAATTTCTATACTTTCCTTATCTGTGTACAGAAAGGAAAGTAACAAATGGCCGTGACCGTATTATCTTAGGCAACCCATTTGCGGTATAGTTATAAACATATTTTATTTTATAAATAAAAACTTTCATCCATTAAACAGATCCTGTATAGGAGCATTACTGTATTGTTTATTGAATAAATCCATTTTGTTTTTATAGATTAAAAATTAATATATTATGTTATTTAAAGGAGTAAGGATGTTAAAAGTGCAAACATTAGCTATTTCAGAATTTATGTTTGTAATCTGTTTATCTATAATTTATTAATTTCTCCATTTGCGTGTTATTTTATTCCAACATTAAGTTTTTAATTTATTCACTAAATCATCAGCTAAATCTGCTAAATTTTTGTAACTCTTTTGTTGATTAATTAGTATTTTATGTAAATGTAAATCACATATATCTTAAAATTTTATTTGTGCATATTAGGGAGACATCTTAACAAGATATCTCAACATCTTAGCAATTATTGGTATAGATATACATATTTTTAAATATATTTTTCAAAATTCCTCAATTTTGACTGTTTTAGTCCATATTTAGACCACATTTAGACCATATATAGACAATTCACTATTCTGGAATAAAAGAGTGATAGCTTTTGAAACAAAAACTACTTTAAGAACAAAATAACGAAACTAAAATAACCGATAAGGCTGCAAATATACAATGCCAGTAAAATAGCATGCCTGTGGCCAGAAATGCACAAAATGAACATTATAATTATGCACAGGTCAGTATCTGAACACAACTTACCTATAATAGCAGGCAATCGTTTTAATTTCTTTGAGAAATGCTACTTCCACACAAAAAACAAATGTCTTGGATCTACTGGCTTGTTATCTGCTAATAAATTGCATGCTCACATGCGTAATACAAAAATATTATGTATTTGCAGCTAGCTTAAATCAATTAATCAACTCAATAAAAAATATAAAAGTCTTGAAAACTTATTTGAATTAATATATTATGCAATAATTCATATGACCAAATACCATACGTGTAACCACCCTAGGATAACAATACAATTACTTACCTAATCGACAGAGTTGAAAACTTTCGACTAATACAATTTTTGATTTTGCCCATTTCATATTAAGATGCTTCCTGTTTTGGACTTAAATTGCTAAGGTATATTTTTGGATTAGATTATCGATCGTTTCAGTAGCGTAGTAATAATGATTTTACTGAGGGTTTAGCTTCATTTAAACAAATTAATACCCTTGTTGTTATATTTTACAAAAATACCGATATTTGGGTAACACAAAATCAAGAAAGCGTCTTTACATATATTTTGCATAAAAATTTAAATAAAATAAAATATCCGATGTAAGCAATATTGTAAATTGTTATAGAACCTTATTTTCATATATAATACAACGAATGGTATCGGGACTATCGAAAATCCCGTAAGCTAATGCAGGAAACATGTTATTCAAAAGTTATTTATTTGACAACACGTTGAGCAGTGGCGGTTTGCTCGTAAGGGCACTTGGGCACGTGCCCTAGTATAATAATAATAAAAAAAAATAACTTACATATTTTATATTTTCCTCAATGCCTATTATTATTTTATCTAATATTCAGCGCACACCCCGTTGGCACGACACTGGACGACCGAGCGTTGAGCGACGTACCGAGAATTCCGAAAGAAGATGGGCACAGTAAATGTGTGCCTCTATTGTTTTCTCTCTCATTATGATGCGAAAAATAAGGACAACGACAATATCGCTTAGCAAGAATGAACACATGCGATGGATAATATGTCACAAGCGGGGCGCTGTCTTAGACCAGATATAAATGTACGCAGAGGCATCCTTACCGGCTCCCTCACAAAGGCAATGGCGGTTTCGGCTGAAAGTGCGCGTTTGTTGGACCATGATAAAAATTTATTTATTGTGATTACGAAAAAATGTTAGTTGGACCATTGGAATAGTTAAGAAATAAAACTACAAAAAAAAATAACTTTTTTTTATAAAGCAGTCAAAAATATGATGAAAAAAAAAATCAATAATATTTATAAATGGGACAAAATTTTTATTTTTCTTTTGGTTTTGTCTGACTTTTTTGAGGATTTCAAATCTCTGCATATTTAAGAGTATAAAAATTTCTGAGTCTTATAAATAATTTAATGGTGTACATTTTCGCAAATTGTTGGCAAGGATGACCAAATTCTATGTTGCTCATTTCAAAAAGGCATGCGTTGGAAATTCCAGGCTTAGTTGACAAACTATCAAATAGAGATATAAATATTTTTTCTAATTTGAATATATAAAAGATAAATTTTTCGCTGGGAGATTTTAAATTGCCAAACACCTTTTCTTTAGAGTCGTATGCTTTAAAATGCGTTAACAAGTTAGAATTGTTAAGTAAATT